AGGAAATGGCCTCAAGCTGGACCAGGGGCAGTTTTGATGGGATATTGGGAAGAATTTCTTCACTGAGAGAGTGGTTAGGCACTGGAATGGGCTGCCTAGGGAGGTGGTGGAGTCATCCCTGGAAACATCCAAAAAAATGAGTAGATGTAGCACTTGAGGCTATGATCTAGTCATTAAGGAGATGCTGGGAGGAAGGTTGGACTTGATCTTAGAGGTCCTTTCCAACCATAGTGATTCTATTATTCTGTGAGCCAACAGCACGTGCTTGCAGCCCAGGAGGCCAAATATATACTGGCCTTCATCAAAAGAAGCACGGCCAGCAGATCAAGAGGGGTGATTCTGCCCCTCTGCTCTAATGAGACCTCACCTGAAGTACTGTGTCCAGCTCTGGAGCTCTCACACAGAAGGCACATGGACCTCTTTGCCTCTAGAAGAAGGTTCTAGAACACCTCTCCTGTAAGGACAGGCTGAGAGAGCTGGGGTTGTTCAGCCTGAAGCAGAGAAAGGAGACCTTATGCCAGCCTCCCAGTGCCTGAATGGGGCCTGTAGGAAAGGTGGGCAAGGACTGTTTACAAGGGCATGTAGCAACAGGATGAGGGGCAGTGGTGTTAAGATAGAACAGGGTAGATCTAGATTAGACATTAGGAAGAAGTTTCTTACAATGAGGGTAGTGGAACACTGGAACAGGCTGCCCAGAGAGGTGGTGGAGGCCCCATCCCTGGAGACATTCAAGGGTAGGCTGATCTAGTTGGGGATGTCCCTGCTTACTGCAGGAGTGCTGGACTAGATGACCTTTACAGGTCCCTTCCACTGCAAAGCCTTCCACCATTCATTCCAGGATCCTAAATGTTGCCAGCCCGCTCGGACTGCGGGGGCTGGGGTGATGTGCAGCGAGGTCAAGAGAGTAAACCAAATGGCAGGGCAAAGTGAGACAACGAGGAAGCAAAGGAGAGGAGAAGCATTAGTGCCAACTAAAGATGAGTAAAAAGGAAGGCTAAGCACAGATGGTGGGAGTATGAACAGAGAGGAATATGGTGCAAAGAGGGAAAGGAATTCAATGGTGAGAGGGACAGCAGAGAACTGGGGAAGGCACAGAGAGTGAGGAACAGCATAGCCACCAATGTTTCCTTTTGTGGAGCAGAGAAGAATCTGACAGAAGGGTTGAGATCTGTAAAACCCAAAAGGCACCTCTCTGACCAGAAGCAAGGTGTGTGAGCAGGATGCAGAAGCAGTTTCCCTTCCTTTTAGGCAGCTGTCAAGGTTTGAGGCTGGGGCAGCCACTAGACAAATAACAGATGCTCTGTTAACCCACCTCCCTTCCCAAAGGGGAAGAGAAAGGGAATAAGGGTGAGAGACTTATGGATTGCAAAAGAAAACTAAAGGAGCTTTAATAAAAATAACAGTGAAGTGGAATATATACACATGTATATAAAACCAGCAGCAAACCCAGCACTCCCCATGGCAGCTGTGTCAGCATCACCACTGCTGCTGTGGAGCAGGTGCTGGGCAAGTCCCAGACTTGGACTCAGCAGCCGACAGGCACGATTCAGAAGCTGGATTCTGAAACTGGATTCAGGAACACATGGATCATGATCAAAGGCAGAATGGACAGAGCCCTCCTCCGACACCAGCCAGTGGAGAAGAGAGCTTGACCCTTGTAACCCCTCAGCTTTACACTGACCAGGATGTATATGGGATGGAATACCTTCTTGGTCAGTTTAAGGCAGCTGTCCCAGCCACTCCTCCCCACAGATGTGACCTTTCACCTTCTGCACCCCCAGTTTAGCAGTGACCCCAGTTCTAACTATAAACATTGAGTGTTACACGTGCTAGAAGTAGACACTGCAAAAAACATGCTATTAACTTCAGAAAGTGCAGTTAGAAGAGACTGAGTTGAAAAGCAAAAATCGCTGAAAATAATTAGTTGTATTTTAACTCAAACCAGTACAACAGGACAAGCAGTGAGTAATTATGGATGCACTACAGCAGCTTCAGAACAGTTCATGTAGGTTTCAGTGCCACAGGGCTGAATGGGAAAGAGGGGAAGCTGGAGCTCAGAAAACAGAGCAAGAAGGATTCTCTGCACTCACTTTCTGCTCCAGATTGTCGCAGCAGCAAGAGAAAAACAAACCTGTGATGTAGAGATGTGAAGGAACGAGTGCCTGGTGCCAGAGGAAGGGTAAGTGCTCCCTTCCCAATCCCTGGGTCTTACTGCAGCAGTAAAGTGGTGATAAAATGTAACACAAGCTTCCGTCACTGCAGATGTCAAGAAAATCCAAGTGCTTCACTGACCCTTAAGCCCAAGCAGGAAGAAGAGAGCTTTTGGCACAGGGAAGCTCTTCTGCTAGCTCACAGAATTGGAGCCTGGGCTACAGCAAAATAAGGTCCTTTAAGCTTCCTTTGCATATGAGCTATCAATAAACAAAACCTGGGTCAAAAGGGGAGACAAACAGAGAGACTCTTACCCAGCTTTTGAAAACCAGCAGGCTTTTACCACCAGAGATCTGTAAGTACTCACCACATGCAGCTCCAACAGAAGCACAGAGAAACATGTCATTTTGGCAGTTTTATTTCACCCCCCTTTATCATACAAAATACTTTACAATTAAAAAACATTTTCCCCAATAGAATCATATACAGATATTTATAATTAACAAAATTCAGTTACACACGAGATGGTGACCTTCTCCACAAAGGAAAACAATGACAGATGATAGAGTGAAAATTAAGATTTGACCCTTTCCCCACCATATTCTGGGAGGGGAGGCTACATTTACATTTTAGACTTTTATTCCTATCATATTCCCTCAAGTCTGAGCTCTGGGATCTCCTCTTACCCTGTCAACACAAGGGCCTCCACCTATGTCTCTAGCCTAAGTACAATATTCTGCTCTGTCATGAACAGAGACTGAGAAACCAGCATCTGGCTGTACCATGAAGTTACCCGTACCCAGAAAAGGGGACTGCTGTCCCCAGTTTTCCCTAGCAACCCACATATACACAAATGCAAGCACATACATGGGGGAAGCATGCTCAAACCCAGGATTTTTCACCCTTTCACCAAATGGCAATCCCACCCCACAAAAGCAACTTGCACTCAAGACACATCCAGCAGGTAGTCTCTGCAGAATGGATACCATAAGGTCTCACAGCCAAGCTGGGCATCACTGCAAATGAAGTCTGGCAAGAGGGCTGGACGTTGCTGTCTTCCCCACTTTGATCATTTGCCTACCAGCAGAGTGTCAGTCAGTCATGGAGGTGAAGACAGGAACCACTCATATGCTTAGGACACAACAGACAGGTAGGGGAAATTGCACACTTCAGCGGGACATCCTTGAACAAACAGTTGCCAATGATCTTCCCCACCAGAACAACAATGTGTGTGAGCCCTAACGAGCATTTTATCTAAGGAAGGTCACTGCTGGGCTGGGCCAGCTCTGCACTCACAGGGGAGCCCATCCCAGAGTCACTGCTGGAGGCCAAATGCCTGAAGCAGTGTGGGAAGGTCACGGGCATCAGCTGCCCCATAGAGGTCACTCTGCCCCAGCATGGAGAGGGCCATGCGGAGGGTGCTCCAGATGTTGTCAGACATAGCTCCTTGCTGCCCTCGTGGACCACGGCTCTTCTGCTGCATGTGCAAAGCCTCCAAGAAGTGCTCCACAGCCTCACTGTCAACATGAGAACACACATATGCTTACTGAAGACAACTGTACATCTCATATTCCCTCCCTCAATTGCTTCTGAAGTACTTCCTCTCCAAGTTTCCTCCTCTTCACCAGATCCTGCCCCACTTCAGAACTATCAGAGATGCCCCTTTTCCATCTTAAAAGAAAATGAAGTCCAGATGGTCCCTATTCCAATGGCATCTGCATCACACTTTGTTCTCAGGGCAGAATCCACACGCTCGCTCTGCTCTCCTGTGCCAAGGGAAGGCTGCAAACAGCGTGGCATTGCCCCAGTAACCTAGTGCAGTCTCCCTCCCACACACACTCCTGGGTGACAGCAGACCTGCAATCCTGTGCTCACCGGTGGGCACCCAGGTTGATGCAGCTGATGCCCAAGTTGTAGCGCGAGCGGATGTATCCCGGCTGGAGCTCCAGGGCCCGGCGATAGGCAGCCACGGCCTCCTCACTGCGGTTCCCGTTGGCCAGCGTGGCACCCAGCTTGTTCCACAGGAGATGGTCCTGGAAGGGGGGGCAGGGAGAAAGAACTGATACAAGCTGGATCTTTCTAAGCTCCGAGCCACCCCCTCCTTCCCTGTATGTCCGTCCTACTCCTCTACTCCAAAAATGTACCTCTCATGCAAGTGGGACCCCACCCAAACCTTCACCCCTAAGCCTCCAGGTACCTCCACCACGCACAGTCTGTCCTTTCTTACATTGGGGCGCACGCTGAGCGCGGCACTGAAGCAATCCACAGCCTTCTCGTACTCCCCACTGAGGTTGAAGAGGACACCCAGGCCACACTGAACATCAGGATCCACAGTGGAGGGGTTGCTGCGCACCGCTGCTAAGAACAGCTCTTTAACCTCCGTGAACAGGGAGCTAGAAAAGCACAGAACAAGGATATTGTACTGCTGAAAGCGCTGCCCTTGGGTTGCTCCCCTGGCTCCTGCCTGGACCCGTCCCACCCCTCCAAGCTGCCTTTCAGCTGAAGGCTGACACTGGTAACCCTAACTCACTCGGACAGCAGGGAGCCCAGGACACGCTTGGGAGGCCCCAGGTTTGTCCCCGAGCCACTCTCCTCCGGCTCCTTCTCCAGCAGGTGGGCATAGGCCGGCTTATGGCGCAGCCAGTCCCGCAGAGTCTCGCACGCCTGCTTCTGCAGGGACTCATTGGTGAAGCTGACTGCTAGAGCCATGAGTGCTGTGAGGTTCCCAGGCTGCAGCTCCAAGCACCTGCAGGCCACAGGAAAGTGAAGGCAGCGTGACATCAGCCTCCCCATCAAGGCAGCGCACACCACGTGAGCCATATGGTCCTCGTGGCACCATGCGCTAGACAAGGAGCTGGGCTTGGAAGCTCTTCTGCAACTCACTGTCTGAGAGCACTGATGGCCAACAGCTCCTGTTCATTCTCTGCTTGGGTAGTTCCCAGGTATTGCCAAGCCTGGAGAATGTGACAGAGATGCAAAAAGTCAAACTTCTTCACATCCAGAGAAGATCAGCTGACAAACCACAGAGACAGAGTTTAAATCCAACAGATTATCCCCCACATTTTTAGAATGAGACCAAATACATGCAAGTATACACATTAGGCACAGATACAAGCTTCTCTCAAAAGACATCTAGACTTTATGGCACATAGGTCCTTGAGGCCAATAAAATTGTCATTGTTACAGTGAAAAGAAGTGAATCGTCTCCCTGGAGATCTATCATAAAGCAACTGTTGGCAGTTTTAGACTTTGGAGTCAGAGAATCTCCACTTTTAAACTGCAGAGAAACGAGGGAAAAGCAGTTCTCTGATTTCCTAACAACAAAATGACATAGCAGCAGTGCTAATAATAAAGAGACCTCACAAGGCAGGGAGCTGCATACACTCATACAGTGGTCCACTAGCAAGTGATAATCCTAGGGAGCTGACTATCAGACCTTAAAGCAGAAGCACTGTTATTTTACCAGATCTTCAGTCATCATGACACCAGTACATGAAAACCACTTCCATCTCCAGTCTGCTGACGTAGGGGATATTTAATTAGGCACTAAACCCAGATTACCTGTTCACTTTGTTGATAACTGCACCCCTTGCTCAAAAATAGGCTAGATAGTTGGCAGGACTGTCAGCATGAAGACCTAACCAGGGCCCCTACTCTAACAAGCTGCTCAGAATTAGTCTTTAATATAGACATTGAAAGTAGGTATCTGCCATAACCATCTCCACACCTGCAATACCAATAAAGACTTCCACAGAAGAGCCTTAAGAGATGAGAACTCCTTGTCTTAGCTCCCTGCAGTCTCATGTGCTCCAAAGATTTTATAGAGGCCTAGGCCTTCATGCTTTTTGTAACTGACCTTAGTCATAAACCTCCCTGCCCACAGCCCTCCTGGTGATTCACATACATCAGAGCCACAGAAACATGAGCTGTTTTCATACACCCTGCACAGCTCCTGACACTGAAGTGAGTTTTCTGCACACACCCTACCACCTTAAAAGAGAAGGATCCAAGCAGGACACCTGACCAAGGCCTGTTATCTCTGCTCTCACTCACCTCCATATGATCTGGCCTCTGTTGCACTGCAGCCTCAAAGAGCAAGACAGCATTGGGGAGGTCACCTTCCTCCAAGCGCTTCCGCCCCTCCTCAAACGCATCCGGGTGATCCCTCAGGGGATTATCTTCCTCAAACTGGTAACCCTAGCAGGGAGGAGACAGGGCCTGATGCTAGGAGACAGGCTTAGGGAGAAAAGCCCTCTACAGCACAGTCTAGTCTTTCTGCATCAGAAACGCTCAAACTGACGATCAGCCAGCACCTCATCCTCTCTGCCAGTCTGTAACAGAGCAGAGAACAAGGGCTGCTCTTCTTCCTGCCTGCTCTCTGCTGAAAAATTTCCCCAGCCAGACCCAGACAGTAGCAACAGAGACTACACATCTGCTCTGGGTCCCATCACCTTGTGCGAGGCGACAACACTCACACTCTCTGCAAAGAAACCCAGCACTAACTGCTATTTGGTGCTGGACAAGAGCTAGACAGCATTGGCAGACAAACACAAGTGAAAAGGTGATTTGCTTGACTCCTATCTGATCTGGGATGAGGGTGCAAGTGACAGCAAGAGATTGGTGCATGAAGGAATCCTAGCAGCATTCGGGGTCTGTGGAGCTCACCTGTGAGGCAGACAAACTGCTGCCAGCCTCCTCAAGGCAGCTCATCACAGCGCTAGGGCTGAGAGACCCTGTTCTGTTACCTTGTCATATGAAGAAGAGCTGAGGTCTTCATAATCAGAGAGCCAAGGGTGAGCCTCTGCATCTCTCTTGGCCATCTCCTCCCATTCTGCCTGGAGTTTATCCCAGAAGTCCACATCTGACTGAAGGGAGAACAATATGAATAGAGTGCCTCAACCACAAACTGAGCTCTATAGACACCCCAGATAACACCTTCTTAAATACTTCTAGCCCTCCTCACAGCATGCAAAGGAGAGAGGTAACACTACCACGGGCTCTCAGTTGGTACCCCAGCCCTCCTCCTCCATCAGCTTTACCTCCACAGCAGTCTTTGCCTGCTCAAATTCCGTATCAAGAGTTGACATGTTCCCAGATCGCACAAACTGATCCACCCAGGCATCAGATGCCCCCTGGGAGTTTGGAAACAGAAACACACCTTGCTTTTTAGCATTTGGCAACCTCAGGGCACATCCCAAAACAGCAGGAGGTTCTGCAATGGTCCCTCCTCCCCATCAACAAGAACTGATAGTATGCAGAGTGGAGAAAAAATGCATTTGGATATCCCCTTCCTCCCAGGTGCTACAGGAGATGAGAAAACTCACACTGCCCAAATATGTTCCCAGCTTCTGGCTAGACTCTGCTAAGAAGAGCCCAACAGCCCCTTCCTTGCCTCCCCCAGCCGAGCAGAGCACTGCTGAGAGTTGGACTTGCCATTCTCCCTCACTCCCAGACTGTGCACTGTGGTAAAAGCCTTTCCTTCTCCAGAGCACATAGGGCTGGGGCTCCTACCTGCTGCTGCATAAACTCAGCTGCCCATTGCTCTGCCTGATCTTGGTCTCTGTGGGTCACCTGATTAGCTTCGATCGATACCCTCCCATCTCCGATCTGGCGCACAAACTTTAGGAACTGTGGCAGAGAAATGAAACAAGGGTGGAGCTGGGCAGATGCTTTGCCAGCAAGCCCTCTGCCCACACCTCCCTCCTTCACTAAGAAGGCTGCTCTCTGACAAGTGAGCACAAAAGGCCCAAAAAGGTGGGGAGGACAGGATTTCACCAGAGCCATGCGGTAGAGCTGGATAATATCTAGAGTGGATTGTAGGGTTCAATTCCTAGGAGTCAGGGAAGATATGGGAACACTGCACAGCAGGAGGCTCTATTCCTTTATTGCCTTTTCCCTTCTCAGTTCTCCACACCCCTTATTCACCCTAGGGTTTCTGTCAGCTCTAGTCAAGGAACTTCTTACCTCAGAATTCTGGAGTTTTGGATCGTCCACTTTAGAGAGGAAATCACTAACAGTTTTCTTAAGATCATCCTCAGGTTGATACTCTTCATACCTATGTTCAGAAGTGATAAAAGGGGAAAGAGATAGTCTGATACCAGGCAAGAGTGAACTCTTTCACTAACAACCATCTACACAATGAGCCAAACAACACCCCTCCTCAAAGACTCTAGGGTTCTCCTAAGTGATTCAGTACCTTTATCCATCTGTAAAAATCCAAAATTACTACTAGGTTAACTGTGCAAATGACTTAAACAGTAGCAGAACTAAACTACAATGACAGCACAGTTCTGCAGAACAGTCTGGATTCCTTGGCAAGCTACCAGACACTGCAAGTTTTAGCACTACCAGGAACAAGGTCACATATCTAGGAACAAAGAAAGTAGGTCATGCTCATATATACATCAGCTTACAGTAGGATAGGACCAGTTCCAGGTGTTACCACTACATTCAATCTTTGGAACTGGTGGCAGTAACTCAGGAATGTCCGTATTTGTAGAAAGGTATCAGAAAAGACAAGAGGCAGGAGGAAGGAGAATCCAAATATGCAAAAATCTCTTTTAGGGAAAAATCTAAGAAGCCCAGATTGCTTGCTTACGTTTTGCTGCTTTAATTGAAAAACTTGACTGTAGTTAACAGGTACCTACACAGAGAAGATCCATAGCAGTAGACTGTTCTTTAATCTACCACACAAAAACACATCAAAATAACGTCTGGAAGGCTGAATCTAGAAATATGAGGAGGAAAGGCTGGATGTAGTTTGTCAGGCAGGGAGAACAAAGCAATGAAAGTTTACAGTCAGGAGATTCTAGTACTAGAGATCTCTAAATCTAAAAAAAGCATCTGTTGTGGAAAAAAAGTTCTGCTTGATCAAGAGCTCCTGAACTCACTCCTGAAATCACTTTAAGGAGCTTTGCATGAGATTAAGTTAGCCTACACAATCATAATGTAGTATCCTGGACCTAGAAAACAGAAAAGCTAACATCTCTTAAAAAAACTTCACTCTCCAAGCATTGTTCCCTCCTTACTTTTCTCTGAAACCAAGGGCCCATTAACACCAATCTAAGTAAAATGACTCAAAAACATCCAGCAGATTTCTACCACCTACCCAAACTTGACCCATGCAAGTGCACAGCAGCAGTAATTAGTCTTGAGAAGACAGACTCACCATTTATCTGCCAAAGACCGGTCTTCCGACTCACCAAGCCACAGTTTCTCTTCTGAATGTTCCAGGTATTCTTCTGCCCACTTGGCAGGAGACACAGACAGAGGATCTGCACAGGACATCAGGAAGAGTGGGGTGTAAGATATGCAGACCCTAAGACCATCACTCAGATTAACTTCAGATTTTGGTCCTTCCACTTCACACACAGACAACACACAGAGAAGGTCTCTTCAAAGACAGATTATGCTTCTTTCTTCTAATTTTGTTTATTCTGATCTAGAAATAAAGCCTTAGGTTCTGGGGGAAAATAATGTAAAACTGGTGAGGAGGACTGTAAACACACTCAAGTGACTTGTGTCAAAAACCACATCTATCATACTGATTTTTGCTTTTGTGTGCTTGACCAGTAGAATGGCTCTGTTTAAATAACACAGACCTGGGATAAACTCAAAGGCACCTTATGGAACAGACTTGAAATTCCTGCCCTGCTGTAGGCAGGATCAAAGTACAGTGGAAAACTATGCCTATAAAAATCCCTGATATGCAGGCAAAAGCAGCAGGTTCAGCAACTTTTTACTCTTTAGCAAGGACCGAGCATCACGGTGCCTGTGTCCCCCCTCACGTGCCTCTGCCTGGGTGCTGCTCCAGAGATCCCCCAGTCTGCAAAATAAGGAGAATAAATTTACTCCTTGCATTTCATCCATGGCTTTCTGGTTGTTCCTGCCCATATGGACTCGCACATATTCTGACTTTGTATTAATGCATACGCCACTGTGGTGCAAACAACCTTACCATTTTCTATTTTAATTTCACAACTTATTTGTCTGCTCTGTGTGGGACACTAAGTAGGTAAAGAAGATTAGCAATGCCTTGCAAGACTGTCAAAAGCACAGCCCAAAAAGCACTAGGTTTTCATCAGAACTTTCTCAAGGACCTTCGTCAATGCTGATTTATATTGCCAAGAGTATAAAGAGTGGGGCTACCTGGCTCTCTACAGAGGCCACTCCTGGAAAAGAGAATTGTATCTATTTAAGGCTTACTCAGAACTTACAGATTAGGTCATGTACAGTAGCAGCAGGACCCTATTCTAGACCCAGCTAGAATGCTGGTTGCTGAAAACACAATGCAGAATGGTTTTTCAGATAAACTACTGGCTTCTTTGAAAAGGAAAGTTTAACTGTTGGTCCAGAAACATTCACTTTGTGCATTTCTAAGGTGCCACACCCCTCTTCCCCCATGAAACTGACAAAGTATTTGGCAAAAGCACTCTAAACAATAACTAGCTTTGTATCAAAGGCAAATTTTGCCTTAAGAGAGGGAATCAGAGAATATATAAGCAAGAAACAGTACAAGACCACCTCCAGAATCTGCATCAGATTAATCATACTGTTTTTATAAAAGCAGTTTGAATAGCTTGCTTCTCCTAAGTTCTCCAAGTAACCTAAGCTAAAAGCAAAAGACCCTCATACCTGAAAAAAAGCTTCCACATCACACTGTTCACAATCTGGCTAAGCCATCACAAAGCAGCTTTTTTTTCCCCCCTGCCCTGTTAAAGCTGCTACAGTAAACACTAAGTGCTGGGCCCAAAACATTACTCCAATTCCACATTCAGTAACTCTCCACTATACACAGGCATGAGACTGGGCAACATCTTTACAGTAATTCCAAAAGGGACCTTTCACCTGTCACTTCAGCAATGAACTCCTGTGACCAGTCAGCCTCATTGTAATCTGAAGAGACATCACCAGCACTATCTGCTGTAGCCAAGAATTCCTGGGTCCAGTTTTCAGACAGTGCCAAGGCTGCCACACCTGGAGCTACAAGCAGAAAAAAAACAAAACAACACAACACAACCAGAAGTGAGGATTGGAGGACTCAAAGGCGTCATTTAAAAGTTCCAGGCCAGCCCTCATCACCTCTGACATTTCCCTCTTTGTTAGACTAAAATCACAGAAAGATTCCACTTGGAAGGAATCTCTCAAATTGCACAGTGTTCTCACAGCAGGTTAACACTGAAGCTAGAGATGAGGTTGCTTCAGGGCATCCATCAAGTAACTTCTGAATTTGTTGAAGGCTGGTTACTCCTCAGCCTCCCCAAGCACCTGCTGCAGCACTGAACTCTTTCTGCACATTGTGTTCGTTGCCCCTTGCCCTTCTGTTGTGTATTACTGCAAAGATCCTGGTCTTGGTTGCTGAAGACAGTCACTAGACACTCCAAGCCCCACCCCCTTGCCACTTAGATTGCTCCTCCTCAGGCTGAACAAACCAAGCTCCCTCAGCCTTTCCTCTTACACCATGTCCCAGTCCCTGAACACCTTACTTGTTCCACTGGTCTTGTTCCAGTATCTCAGCATACTGAGAAGCCTAAATCTGTAAACAAGACTCCAGATACAATCTCACAAGTGCTGAATAGATCAGGGCCACACTGCTAGAAGCTTGACCATAACACCAAGATCTTTTCCAGCTCTCCATCTACTCTGGCTCCCCTCACCTCGTTGCGGGGCCTGTCGGAAGCTTGACTGTTCAATCTCCTGCATCTCAGCCAACAAGTCATCCATCTTAAAGGTCTGAGGTGCACGGGACAGTAAAGGGGCATTCTGCTCCTGCAGGAACTCTCCGACCAGCTGCCAGAGAGAGATGGGTTACAAATAGAGCATACAAGATGAACAGGCAGAGCAGTGGAGCATTAGAGAAATAAATGGGCTTGTCAGAAGGAAAGATCAGTATCAGGTAAGCGGAAAAATAGCAAACAGTGTTGATGAGAAAAGCAGTAAGGAGACGCATCAATCTGCTCTTACCTCATCATCGGTGGCCGTTCCCAGTGGTTTAGATACCTACAAGGAATAATGGGCAATTATCCCAACAGCTTTGATCCCAGACCACTCCACACACACCCCGTGACCTGATCAGTTTGCATCTTTCTTTTCCTTGAGCTTCATCGACCAGCACTTTCTTGCATTAGCTGCCTGTCTGTTTATGTGGAAGCTAAGGGGGCAGGAACACCCCGAGTGATCCTGTTCGCCCCCTCCCCACCACTGTCTGGGCTGGGGCCTGTGACAGTCTGTATTACAACTCACCACAGCCACCAGCATCCCCCTAGCACCCACAAACACAGCTTCCACGAACAGGCCCTCACCCCACACTCCTGCAGGACAAATCGGGTGATGCTGTGGTCTCTTTACCCAGAAAAAAATGGCAATGCCGCACCTGCCTGCAGCACCAGCTCCCGAGCA